TTGTAAATATGTTATTAATGTAAGTGATCTTACTATTAATTTCATAGGATTACTGAAAAAGTACAAAAGGATCATATTTGAAGCTTGGGGGTGTTACTGTAGTTTGGAAAACAATTTTACTAAATTTAAAATAAATATATAAGAGAAATTTTGCATTAATTTAAACTTACATGAAAATACTTTTTAAAAATATTTTTGGCCTCTCTCTCAGGCACCACTTTGATTTTTGCCGGTGAAGTTTTAGATGGCCAGGCGCACGTGATTACGGAGTTATGCCTCCTCGCCACTTGGTAGTTGGTAATTTGGCGGCAGAGAATGACAGCTCCAGCGAATAATCGCGCGGCAGTGTCAAGCTTCCTTTTAGTTAATTATTATATTACTATCTAATTATCACCTAAGTTTGGTAAATATATAAGAGAATTTTATTAAATTCATTTTAATTTAAAAGCATAAACAAATAAAGCGAAGTTATGTACAGCGTTCAATATATTATTTTAATTATGCCATTCATTAAATTGAGATTAATAATTAAGGATGATTAAATACAAAAATAGATGGGTCGTACTAAATGAGGTATTTGTAAAAAAATAAAATAAAATAAAATTTCCCCTTAGGTTTTCATCACATCCCACGTTGTTCCCAAATTCTCCCGAGCATTTTCATCTTGCAATTACTCACAAACAAATAAGTAGATAGTGTCCAGAAGATTTTCTATAAGTGTTTGGTCCCGGGGGAATTGGCTAAAAATTTCCATGACAAACTAATTGGAGAATGAGACCTACAAAAAATATAAAGACGTGAGGCCCTCAAAAAAAAAAACCCACATTGCTTTTACGAATGTTAATTGTATATAACTAATCATTACTTGCATATCATGAATACCTACTTACATATGACTAATTGTATATAATGGATGCTTACTTACATATAGTTTCATTATATAATATGGATGCTAATTGCAGGTAATAGATTGTCACTTGTTTATGACACAACATATGATGGATGCCTACTTGTATATAAGTTTATTGCATAATACGAATGTTAATTTGTATATGACAAGTTTTCACTTGCATATGACCAATTGCATATGACAAATCTCACTTGCACATGATTGATGCCTGCTTATATATAGGTTTGTTACATAATACAATTGTTAATTACATATTATGGATGCTTACTTGTATATGATGTATCCCTACTTTTATATGGATTCCTATTGTATGTTATTGCATGCTATCAATGCTAATTGCATATGACGAATCTTCTCTTACACCTAATAGATGACCACTAGCATATGAGTTTTTATTGCATGTTATTGTGTAATATGGATGTTAATTGCATGTACAAATCCTTACTTGCATGTGATGGATGTTTACTTCTATATGAGTTTCTATTTTATTATGTAATATTGATGCTAATTACATATACAAGCAAGCATCCATCATATGCAAGTAAATATCTATCATATGCAATTAGTTATATGCAAGTGAGAATCATTCACATATAATTAGCATTCATCAGGGTAATGTAGTCTTTTTTTTTAATCATATTTTTTTTTGACATTTAAAGGTTTCAAACCTTTATATTTATTATATGTTTCATTTCCCAATCAATTTGTTAGAAGAGGATTTTCACCCAATTTTTTTTTAAATATGTGATTATTCTCCCACTGAAGAGCACACGCACGGGAGTTGAAAGTGAGAAGAGGCCTTGAAACATTGGGTAGCTTTCCTCCGGGGTGCAAATAAGATGAAGACTTAATGCACTTAATTAGAGATTATTTGGATGCCATTAATTGATGGAGATCTACGATTTTCTCCTGCAGTGTGAAATGGTTTTTCTGCTGTACAATGAGTAGGAATGGGTTAAATAGAATTTAAAACGTGAGGTGAGTCAGACTCATAATAAGAAGGTGCAGTGGTTGTCTCTTTATAATAATTGAATTATTCATTAAATATCATTATACATTGATTAAAAATGATAATTGAGAGCTAATTATCAAGATTTTGGGTTATTTGGACACATACTTCGTGAAATGGTTCATACATGTTTGTTGCCCGGTGCAACAAGATCAAGTTGGTATTAAAATAGCGATGTAAACTCGCTGAATGGCATATAGTTGAATCTTGTGTAAATAACAAAAAGGAAAAAAAAAAAATCCTTAAAACGTAATTGTTTAGCCCTTCCTTTTTCTTACTGTTCATTTAAGGGCTTGTTAACTATATTGTGCTTTGAGAATTCACCTTCTCTATATAAATCGTTCTTTGCGTTGCATTTTAAAAATCTGTTCTTCGTTTTTTTTTTTGGGCTATGCACACAAGATCCATCTAAGTATCATTTGATGAGTTCATATCATCATTTTAATGCCGTTTATAACACTTAAGTAGATTTTAACATTGTTACTTATTTAGAAACTAATATTTTAAGACAGCTTAAATTCTAGAGACTAAAGCCACAAGTTTAAAATTTGAGAGACGAAAAATTAAAATGATCCAAATTTTAGAAAGCAAAAATTATATTAAACCAATTTTTAATTTAGAGAAGAATCTGATGAAGGCCACTAAGAGTTTCTTGTTGCAGTCTTGCTGGTTTTAGTACTGCTTTTCAGTTTATATTAAAAATAAAAAAGCCTTAGAATCATAAAAAAAAAAATGTTTCACGAGGGAAAGCTTACAGCCAAAGCCCATGGAATTTAACTTCGAAAAAAAATTCACACCTGAGACAACCTAATTATAAATTGGAAAAATTTTCATGTAATTCCACATAAATAATAATTAAAAATCTCAATACAAGTGATGGGTATGTGTTATGATTTTTTGCATCAGAATACTGTTCAGAAGTATAAGACTTTTTAGTGGTTGAATTATTATGTGGGATTGTATAATAATTTTCATTCTATTCATAACTTTGAAAAGATAATCACAATAATTTTTTTGGGCTATAAAATAGTTTAAAATAAATCCTTGGGAGAATGATAGAAAAGGAAGTCGAAAATTACAAATCCCAAATCAGATTTAGTAACACAACTTTATTTAATATTGACATCTGAATTTGCAAATGATAATAAATTTTTGTCAACATTCTTTGTTTAGCATTGACAAACTCAATTATTTTTATATATTTTGATATTTTTTATATGGGTTTTGTCAACTTAATTAGTCTCTTTTGACATTAATTGATTGATTAATTGATTTAATATGTTTTATTTTGAATTATTATTTTATAGGGGCAAAATTGTCATTTTTTGGTTTAATTGTGACTAATTGATTTTTAAGGACAATTAATGCTACCTTATTTTTAAATTTTTGCTTGCAGGTTTTTGGAAAATTTTGAAAAAAATAAAAAATAAAAATAAAAATAAAATTAAAATAATAATAATAATAATAATAGGTGGGGCAAAACGCAACGTTTTGCCCCACCCTAATAATCCAATATTCATCATCATCAGCACGAGGCGGAGACCGTAGAGCTGGGGCGGCAAAACAAAAAAGAAGGCACACGCGAGGCAAGAGAAGACGCCGAACGCTGGAGAAGAAACGGAACACACACACACGCGACAGCGGCCGAACAAAAACGCGCACACACACGCGAGGCGCGGCTGGAAGAGATAGACGAACAGAGCACACACACGCAACAGAGCTGGGTGCGACGGAAAAAAAACAGAGGAGGCGGCGTGAACAGTGTTCCTCCATGGAAATTTGCAGCAGAACTTTGATTACAGCAACTCTTATGGCAATCCGTGGCTAAGGTCCCATAATTCTCTAATTCAACAATAATGGCAGGAGCTTGGATCATAAAAAGGAGTTTAGTTACTTTAATTTCCTGTCTAATAATTGCTTAACAATTCTTAGGTTTTAGGATAGTTATTCTAATTATTAGAAAATTTTGTATTGTTAAATCTGATTATCTGTGGAAATTATTGTGACTGGATTATTATTTAGTATTTGACATTGGGCTGTTTATAGTTTTGATTTCAATTATGATGTTGTGGTTATGACATTTGTATTGATTTTAGAGTTAATATATTGTGATTTTCTAAGGTGGTTTGGAATCTTGGATCATATTGTCTCTTGTTAGCTTTAAGTCTATTATTGTGGATTTAAGAATTTAATTAAGCATTGGTTTTAGTATCCTTAATTTCATTTTACTATTCTGGTTGCAGTTAGTAATTTGAATTTTTGAGAAAATATTTTGAGGCAATTCGAGGTGGCTCGGTTGTTGGATTAAAAGCTTAATTATAATTCTTAATTCATTGTTTTAACTCCCACATCTTTTAGAGTGATGATTGCCTGCGTTGTTGAATTGGAGGATTGATTATTATCATTGTTATTCGTGTGTTTCATTTTTATTTCTTTAATCTTTTTTCATTTTAATTATTTTTATATAAAAACAAAAAAAAGTATTTTAATTTCAATTTAATTCAAGGCATTTAGTTAGCAATTCTTCAAAATCAAATCAAAAATCCTTTTTATAATTTAGGTTACTTGCATTTATTTATTAGGATTTAATTTCGTTTTCGGCTCCTCAAAGTGAATACGACCCGGGTTGTACACTATATTGCATAAATTCAGTTAATTTTTGGAGTAACCCCAAAGCGACAATTAAGGGAAGTTATCTTCAAGCATTTACAATTTTTTTTTTTTTGTGTTAATGTCCTTGAATCATTGTTATGGAGATTTGCTTAAACTCAATTTAAACTTTGTAATAAGTAAAACTGCAATCCCACCACCAAGCGGATCCGTGGCGCAATGGTAGCGCGTCTGACTCCAGATCAGAAGGTTGCGTGTTCGATTCACGTCGGGTTCAAATCCCCATAAAATCCAGCTCTTTTGAGACGTTTCCCCATCAAAACGCAGCGTTGCATCGCATGAAGTTAAACTGAAGCAGATTGCGGTTCTAAGTGAGAGACTCACCGGTGGATCACTCGTCGCGCCCTCATACCAGCACTTCTCTCCATTTTCTTTGGCGGAGGCCCTAGATTCCCCTTCCCAGCTGCGACCATGTTTTTGGCTTCTCGATTTCGCCAAGCGTATCGCTATCGCTTTTACTGCACAATCGCATCAACTGCGAATTCATCTGAGGCTGGCACTGGCCAGAGTACATGGCCTGGTCCCTTTTCTCCTTCCTCGAGGGTGGAATCCAGGCCGGTTCTCGCCCGTCTCAAGGCCGAGGAGAATCCAGAGCGGATACTCGAGATTTGCCGCTCCGCTTCGCTCAACCCTGAGGCTTCTATTGATCGCATTTGTTTCTCCATTACCGTTTCCAAGCTCACGGCAGCCAAACAGTTCGAGAGTATTCGTCAATTGCTTGAGGAATTGAAGACCCGGCCGGACTTTAATGAGAACGACGGTTTCGCGTGCCACGTTATAATATGGTATGGTCAAGCCAACATGCTTGAAGATGCCATTCTCACTTTCAAGCAACTTGATCAGTTGGGTATTACTCGTTCCGTTAAATCGTTGTATGCTTTGCTTGTTGCTTGTCAAATGGCTAAGAATTACGAGGAGTTGTGTCGAATTTTCTGTGAATTCCCAAAAACATATGGAATAGAACCCAACCTTGAAACGTATAATATGGGAATCAAGGCGTTTTGCATTGCGGGTAAGTCTAGTTCTGCATATTCGATACTAACTGAGATGGATAGAAAAGGCGTAAAGCCTGATGAGGCTACTTTTGGGAATTTGCTTGCTGGATTTTACAATGAAGAAAAATTGGAAGATGTAGGGAAGGTGTTGCAACTGATGGTTCAGTATGGCATTAAACCAGGTCTTACCACCTACAACATTAGGATTCAGAGCTTATGTAAAATGAAGAAGTCATCGGAAGCGAAGGCGTTGCTCGGTGGCATGATGTCCAGGGGTGTGCAGCCAAATACAGCTACTTACTGCCATTTGATTCATGGGTTCTGTAAAGAAGGGAGGTTTAATAAAGCAATAAAATTGTTCGGTGACATGCGAACAAAAGGCATGAAACCCACTGCTACCTGTCACTTTACTCTGATTAGCTTCCTGTGCGAAGGTGAGCATTTTGTGAAAGCGTTTTGGGCTACCAAGAGATGTATTAAGCATGGTTGGATTCCACCTTACTCAGTAATGACAAGACTTGCGAATGGTTTAATAAGCATTTCCAAGTTTGATGATGCTAAGTTTCTTATCAAGCATATCAAGCAGAAGTTCAAGATAAACAATGCACAATGGGATGAAATTGAAGCTAAGTTGCCTTCGTAGGGATGACTGTAAACTCAGTCAGATGGAACCCAGAAAACTCGTGTCCTCTCATCACGTCCATTCATGTCCTGTCTATATTGATCGACTCATGAAAAATTATTAGGTGGATTGACGGAATTATGAATATGCATAGGAATGCTGGTACTTGACAATCTTACCATGATAAAACTCTGGATTGCCAATGCCTGACACAGTGATACTCATGCTCTACTTATGGTAGACAAATGAGAAGATCACAACAACATCTTGGTTTCGTTGATTCTGAGCTAGCTTTGCTGTGTTGTTGGATCGAGTGCTTACTAGTAGGGTATGAGTTATTATCAGGGCTCATCTTTATAATGTCAAGCCCCATTTCTATTCTATTCAACATCTTGGCCATCCTATTGCCACCAAGCTTGGCAGTTTTTATGTTCTCTTACCTTTTTATCTTCAAAGGAATCTATAATTTTGAGCTGTGAAGGAGCCAAAGCTGCTTTTGAGAGGCTATCTTGTAATCTTGTGTAGTCTGATGGTTTTATCATTGTCCAGGAATGATCATTTTCAAATGATGAATGTCACGAGGAAAATTTTCTATGTGAAGTGTCAGCAACAATAATGTGTATGTTTAGTTTGCCATGGCCAATCTTGATGACCCCTTGCTCTCTAATGTCCACTCTTCAAGTGGATCGTAATTCTCTGCAATAATAATGTATCATGTTGAGGGGGAAAATAATACTACTTCCGGTCCTTAATATAAGAATTGATTTGATTTTTAATTTGGTCCTAAATATAAGACCTCAATTCACTTTGTTTCTCATATTTATTTATTTTTTTTAAAAGTAGTCCTTATAGTAGTTATACATGTTAAAAGTTCAATCAAATGGTAGTTTTAGCTAATATATGATTAGTAAGAGTATTTTAGAAAAGATAATCCCTAATTATTGCAAATAACTAACTTGTTAACAAACTTTTTTAATCTACTCAAATTAATCAACTAGTTCTTATATTGAAGAACAGAGGTAGTACTACTTATGATCTTTATTATAAGACTTAATTGATTAATTTAAGAAAATTAGTTAAGTTTATTATTTATATTAAATATCTTTTATTTTTTTTAAAATATCTTTACTAAAACTATTGAAATTTTTAATATGTGTAACTATTATAAGATTATTTTTTTAAAAAAATAAATATGAGAAATAAAATAGATTGTAATTTTATATTTAAAATTAAATTAATATCAAATTAATTTTTATATTAGAAACAAGAGATAGCATGAATGACATAAAGGAATGTCTGAAGTCTCTTTTCTTAACATTGACACTTCTCAAAAAATAAAACTGTTTCTAAATTATAGAGTAAAAGGTAAGTAATGGTTAGAATTCAAATATTACTGTGAAACCAAAAATATCCCATCCATTTTTTGGAGGCGTGTTAAAGGAAGGGATCCTGCCTTCTAAATGTTGCACATTTGCAACAAACAAAATTTTTTTGCCTCTGAGAGAATTGTTTATGTAAATTTTATATTTATCGTTAAATTGTAGCGTCTAAAAGTGTGTTTAATCATGTGTTATGCCTAATTTATTTAAAGCCTCGTCTTGGAAATGGAAATTGGAAATGATGGATAAAGAAGCAGCTGAAATTAACCAAGTTATTAGAGATGGAAATGATAGTCAATCCATTTCCAGCAACTTTCTTTAAAATGAACCCATACTAAACTTGGGTGGATCACGTTTCCCCACACAAATGCCATTTAAGTTTGTCATGATCATAGGAGTTATTAGATCTATCTGTTTGATACCCATGTGTTGATCTATCAAGTTCTGGGTTTCGCTCAGTGAAAGTTCCTGATGATAATAATAATAACAATAATAATAACTGTTGTTGTTGTTATTATTGTTATTGTTAAAAACTTCATCAACTGGGTTTGTTTAAGCGGATTTGAAGAGGAAAAATGGGCTGCTTTTCCTGTTGCCTTACCCCGTCAGAGAAAGTCGTCGATGCAGATGGTCCAACAGAAGTTTCAAAACGCAGGACAGAACTGAAATCCTATACGTTGAAATCAATTGTTTCAAATATTTCACTCAAGACAGGTGCGTCAATCAATTGATGCCTCATATTTGAATTGTTAACCTTTTATTGTAGGTTAATATTGTGCAGACTTTGATTGATAATTTCGCTCTGTTCCTTAATTGAATTATCGTTCGAAATTGATGCACAAGAGGCAGGTTAGCTTTTCATTCGTTTTTCTGTCATTGATCTCCCGGATTTTGAGTGATCATTCCTGGTAACTTAAAAAAAAGTTTTCGACAATTTCGAGCAATCGATAAGAACTTGATTTCTTCAACGGGCTCATGAAAAATCCATAAGAATTTAGTTTGCATATTTGAACCTGTGCTCAACGGTTCTAATGGGTAATGCTGGTGATTGATTGAATTTTACGTAACTGCAGGTAGCAGCAGGCAGAGAAGGATAACTGCAGAGATACAAAAACACGGAACTGTACAAAATGAAGCTACAGTTTTCACATACAAAGAACTCGGTGATGCAACTGACGGTTTCAGCGATGAACACAGAATAGGCGAGGGGGGATTCGGGGTGGTCTACAAAGGACGCATAGAAAGCATTGATCAAGTCTCTTTCTATCTCTATTTCTTAACAGAGGTTTTCGTTTTCTGCTAGAGTTTCCTGCATGTTAGATTCATCTCGGGTTCCTCGTTTGGCTTCCAGGTTGTGGCTGTGAAGCAGCTGGACAGACAAGGAAGGCAAGGAACTAGAGAATTTATTTCAGAGGTTTTGATGTTAAGCTTGTTGAAGCATCCCAACCTTGTCAATTTGATAGGTTATTGTGTTGAAGACGACCACAGGATTTTGACCTACGAGTACATGCCCAATGGGAGTCTAGAAGATCACCTTCTAGGTAAGAAGACGCATAAGATTAAGAGATCATAATAAAGTAATATTATTTACGTGTTTTCATTAGCAGCTTTTGAATTGTTGTGATAGCCAGAAGCTCTTTTACTTAATGTTTTCTGTCTCAGACTTGGCTCCAAATAAGGCGCCTTTATCTTGGGACATGAGGTTGAAAATAGCTGAGGGAGCTGCAAGAGGGCTTGAGTATCTACATGAAATTGCTGAGCCAAAAGTAATATACCGCGATTTTAAAGCATCAAATATATTGTTAGATAGCGACTTCAATCCCAGGCTTTCTGATTTTGGTATGGCCAAGATGGGTCCAACACAAGGCCAACTTTATATCACCACGAGGGTCATGGGAACCTATGGCTATTGTGCACCAGAGTATGCTGCCACCGGGCAGCTGACGAGCAAGTCTGATGTTTATAGCTTTGGGGTTGTGCTTTTGGAGATAATCTCTGGCAGACGAGTTATTGACGTTACAAAAGCAGCAGACGAGCAGAACCTGATTCAATGGGTATGTTGCCATTTTTCTCCCTTTCAACAGCTGATGAATCAGTTTCACTCCAACGAAGAGCTGTTATGGGCCTAACATGGGTTAAACATGAAACACAAAATGGCTTTTTAATGACCTTATGTCAGTGTCTCGACTTCCTCTAAAGTTTTGTGGTTTGAACATTAATCTTCAAATAAGGCACTGATGGTTTTCTTTTTGTTTTGGTTTTTGCAGGCACAACCACTGTTTAAGGACAGAAGCAAGTTTACTCTAATGGCTGACCCCTTGCTTGACGGCAACTACCCTGAGAAGAGTCTATTTCAAGCACTTGCAGTGGCAGCAATGTGTTTGCAAGAAGAAGCTGAGGCAAGACCTTCAATGGGTGAGGTTGTGGAAGCTCTTGAACTTCTATCAAAGCCGAAAGATACAGAATAGAATCATAGACAACAGCTGGATCCATAGTCAGAACTGCTGGCCACATTGAATCATTTTTTGCGCGCTGTAAGACCAACAGGTGCAGAGTCATCGCCAAAAACTGGAGTTCATCGCAAAATTACGCTGTTACCACACACCAGAGGTACATATTTCACATCAGCGACTAGTACTAAAATTTGCAGTACAAAAATGACTACTTAATTTTAAATTTTGTCGTATGCGATTGTTAGGGTTACTATTAGGTACCATTATAATCAAGATAACACATAACATCACCTAGATAAATAGCCCACATTATGAGTACTAAATATTTTTGAAATCATATCTTATTACTCGTTCGATGAGTGAGATTCCCCATATTTAATCTTATTTCTCGTTTTTCCCTGTATTTTCTAATGCTTTTGTTTCACCTTTTAAATTTAAGTAGAATGCAAAGCCGTTGATAAATATAGGGGGTGTTTGGATGAAAACTAAACATGGTTTTAGAAGTGATTTTACGGTCTACAAAGTAAATGTGTGGAGGAGTTTATTTCGATTTGCGAAAAAGTGCTTCTGATGAAAACCAAACCATGGTTTGAGAAGCACTTTTCAGGATATCCAAACACTTCCATAAATGAGCTCTTTTGCCGATAGCTGCAGAAGAGCGTTAGATCTGAGAGAACACGCACACTCTTACTGCTATGATGCTAAATGCAGAAAGAGTCGCCAGACTGCTTGACAATTTGAACTTCAAAATGAGAAATTGTCCTACTCTGGCAGTGCAATCTTAAATACACACACACACACACACACAAATATGCTGCATGAATCGGTCAGTGCAGATTGACATGAGAAAATCGTGGGCTGGTTGAATGGTGAAAACAAGTATGTGATGTGTGATGAGGCATATACTCACGTTTAAATCTTAGTTGTCAATTTCTCAGGGCTAGGTCACGGGATTTTATCGTGATCCCCTTACTTTTGGCATCGATGACTTGCCTTTCACCAGATTAGAGAGGTAGATCAGTTGAACGGCGTGCAAATTGTACCAAACACTACCTGATTGTTGTGATACCAAAACCAAAAATCTAATTAACCTAGATAAACATTTGCATTATAGTCCAGGAATTCTATTTAATTGATTATTGTTTTCTGCAGCTCTGCATCTTCTCGTCTTCCTCTTCCAAGTCATAATCAAGAATCGAGACCCAGAAATTGGGTTTGGAATAGGCTTTGCAAGAAATTGTGACTACAATGTGTTGCCGAACTTTTTGAGAACTTCCTTTCCCTTCTAACTCAAACTTGGTGAAGTACTTAATTTTTTTCCCCTTCAATAGAGATCCAACGCTATCCTTGTGCCTGTAGAAACAGGAACTGGAGAAGCAGCCATATTATCTTGTAATTTGGAAGCAATAACTCTACTTTTCTAGTGTAATAGTTAGCTGTTGAGATGAAAGGTATGAAGGAGCATTATAGATGAAAAAAGTTTGAGTCATAGGTCAAAATTTGATTTCCGATTGGGAACACCTCATTTTCCTGTTGATTTTCAATGGAAATTTTGCTTATTTTCTGGACATGGCCATATCATGGTTTGCTTCTTTCCTCTTGTCTATTATCTATTGCAAGTCTTCCATGTTCCCTTTTATTTCTTTTCGTTTTTGTCTTTTTTAGTTTTTGAACTTTGTTTTCTCATGAGCATCTCCATAATGGGAGAATTAATCGTTTATTCATTAAACTATACACCAATTTGTAACTTGATCATTGAACTTCATTTCTGTGATTACTCCCTAAACTTTCATACTGTTAGTAAATTAGCCCCTATCAAGTCATGGCACATCCATGACAGCATCTAACAGTAGTTGATGTGGCCGAGAGAGGGAACGCAAGGAGGATAAATTGGCATTGATTGTATTCAGTGAGTTACAAAAAGTTGCAACATTGATGATTGAACTCGAACTTCATCCCAACTTTGAATTCAAACTTCTTTGGCAGCGTCTGAGACTAACAACACACTTTTTTGAAGCCGTTTAATCCAGTTAGCACCAATTCTTCTTCCACATGTTCCCTCTTTCAGCCACATCAGCTAGTGTTGGATGTCATCATGCCATGGATGCATGATAAGGAATGGAAAAAATAGAAAAGAAAAGAAAATACCGACTGCAAAAGTTCAAGGAGAATTTTGGGCAATATCCTCTTACGAATACCATCAATGGGATAAGAAGCATTATCATATGATATTGGTTAGTCAGATCTCGTTATGTGTTCGAAGAAACAAATTCCTGTGCAAAGTCGCTGCTCAGACATACTCACAAGTCATCATATAAATGGAGATTTTCCTAGTTTTGGTACTTCCTTGCTTGATAGTAGACATCTCCTACATACTAAAAAATATGGGGAGCACATTGCTATGAGCTAGTTCATTTTGTCCCCATTCTCTTATATGGTGTTTGTGAGCAAATCTTTCTCTTTTTCTTGGGTACAATCAGATTTTGTTTGGTAGTTTTCTTTTGCTTTTTTAAAAAGATTTGCCATCCAGTCAGCCAGATTATGGCAGTACTCTACAGTCAATGAAAATAAATCCTCACAGATGCTTTAAACACTTGAGGTGGGGAGATGTGCTGCCTCTTTGGATATCAACTTTTCTTATCGGACACCTGTCATACCCGCCATTACAATGTTGTATTTGCTGGTCTATGTAATGTTGTATATTTTGTTTCTTCATGACCAAAAAGTAGGCTGGGAGCTGTCGACCTATTATCTTTAACTTGATATTGCAAACGCAAAGACTCCATATAAGCACACATTCTATTAAAAATAGCAAGATCACAAGAGAATACTACCCGACAATCCACAGACATAGTAGTTCCCTTTTGACCTGTGCGAAAATTTAACCTCCCAAATTTCATCGATACCTTCAAGTGATAAAGATGTTGAGTGATTCCAACCACACTTCAAAGGATGAGACTCGTGCATATCAGAGATCATTTTCCCACGCAGCATGTGAAGTTTTGGTTCATCTACGTAGTTGGTGAAATTTCAAGGAGCGGCCAAAGTAACTAATTATATGCATAAAGAATAATCGTCTTCAAGAGACAGTACAAGGCCAGGCCTCCCATGTTCTTGTCAATTGAACAATATGGGCAAGGCAGAGTCTAGGCTTCCAGAGAGTTACAAGATTGACAATGTTATATTACAAAGCCATAATCGATCAATGTTAAGGTTTAAAAAGAAATAAGAGACTACTTTACATTCCTTATGTACGTCATTTCATGCCTCAAAATTAGACATCCACTGTACCTCTATAAGAATATGTTCAGTGTATATGTGTGTACTTTTAAGCGTAAGGGAACAAATCATTATATGCTCGAGAGATGGCACACGTACCCCAACCTTCGGTGTGAGGCGAGAGCCTGCTCCAGAGCAACCTTGATACCAGCACCCTCACGGAATAATGATTCATACAGTTGACAGACAAATTGTGACAGTTCCTCCTCGTTATCATCATAAATGTACGTAGTTTGTTCCTCAAGTTTTTCAGCATCGCTATCTTCCCAGTCACTTGATGGACTCTCAAGTTCATGCTCATCTTCCATTTCATCCTCTCCAATTTCAAATTTTCCATTTTCCAATGCATCATCTCATCTCCCGAGAACCATCAAAATGGGTTAACAGAGGTTCTGGGGGTTCATTCGAAGAACATACGACAGCTTTGGCACCAGAGTCTAGAAAGGCCTTGATCAGAGCTGCACTGGGTCCATGTAAACCAGTGCATATAATGATCCTGTCTCTCCATGCTCCAACCT